CACACACACCACCACCACCACCTCCTGATGAAACTCAAGATGCCAGCCTCCTCCAACACCTGCTTTTACATTCACCRTTCCTCACTGCTACTGGTCAGAGGACAAACATTCTGCTCTGTCATTGGTCCGCAGCTCCATGTGTAAAAACTCCCCGACACGTGAAACTAAATGTATGTATGTACAGTATTCAGAGGAGGGAAATGTGTCATCGTGGGCACAATTTATATTTGCTCACGAGTGGCACCCAAAGTATCATTCTGTTTATATAGTTTATATAAACGGGGCTGGAGTGAAGTTTTTTTTTATTATTATTGTTGGGGATTCCAGTCCCTGATTATCAAATCTCCTCAGGTTTAATATCATGATTGTGAAATTATTTCTGGAGTTTTCTATGATTTAAAATCTTTATAAGAAAACAGATTTTAGTGACTAAATGTCATTTTTGGTCACTGTGTAGAAAAATGATACAATCCTAATGGATGAAATAATATTCTGTGTAAGGTGACGTGTGTCTGTGGTTAAACACACACTGGAATAAGTAACAGTATAACCTGTGTACCCTCAGTGTACTGGGCACAGAGAAACGGTTCCTGTTCCTGGCCTCAGAGTGTCTGGGTCGGTGTTATTCTATCATCCCTGAGAAACCTCACATCTGACAGTGGAGACACGCACACTTAACACACACACTCTCTCTCTCACACACATATTCTGAGGGATAACAGGATCAGTCTTTGACGAGAGCTAAAATAAAAAGATGGCATCAGTAAGCAAACACAAACAGTAGCTTAGTGCTACAATAACTAATAAATATGATTAATGTCAGAGGTTAAATTACTAATGTTAGGATTAAAAWCTAACACTGTGCAGCTTCAGATAGACTCTTATAATGGATGAAATACTGTTTTAAAAAAAGTYCTAATGATTTATTAGGTAATTAGATGTTTTTTCCCAGTAAAACTTGTTTCATGCTGTGTTTTTTGGACTTTGGGAAATCCCCTCAGGCTTTTAAAATAGATATGAGTGCGTCATGAAATAACCACCTCCACTAGTATTAGGCTGATGACATCTTCCTCTTTTTTTAAACTATTTTCGTTCATCATATTCCCCCTGTTTAAGCTAAAGTTGATTGTGGTCTAAATGAAAACCACAAATGATGATGACAGCTCAGTGAAATGCACTGATTCACTACAGAGGAAGTGGAGTACTGGAGCTGATCAATCTGGTTATAACTGAAATAAATAAATAATTAAACTGGGGAAAGCTTTCTGGAAATTAAATGATTGTTTCTTCTCATCATAATGAAAAAAATACATACAAAAATTTTGATAATGGAGAGATAGATGGACAAATAATTATTGGTTATAATGAAAAGAAAAAAATTCTAAAACTGTATGATCAAAACAATGTTTTATGTAAATATGATACAGCTGTGCAGACAACATACATAAATAAATCAAATATGATGGTCCTGACCTGCTGATTAAAAACTGTTAATTACTGARGCTGAAAAACACCTGTGCACATTTSATCCAATTATATGCATAAAAAGAAGTACAGACAGAAAAATAAAAAAAAATATTTAACATTAATGTATGAGTAAGTGCTCTCTTATAAAATAAAAATAAAAAGTATCTGAGGGATATTTACCTGTCCTCCTGGACCCCGACCTCCTCCTCCTCAGAGGCCGGCTGGAGCTGCTTCCGTCCCGGGGGAAGGTGCGTGGACAGCAGGTAGAGGTAAACACTCGCCGCCGCCACGATGGCAGCTAGCCCGGCCAGAGAGCGCATGTTGTCTCCCCTCMAGAGGAACTTTTCCGTCCGCCGGCAACTTTCGCTGAAAACTCGGGTTTAAACTTGAGCMGAGGGGAAACCCGGCGGGGAAATAATGTCGACGTGTCGTGGCTCAGTTGGACCGGAGCCGAAGAGAAAGACGGTGTCGCTGAGCCGGACAACATATGACGGCTGACATTCTGGAGGGGTTCGGTGCTCGGATCATGTGGCAGCCTGATGAACTTTCTTCAGGAAAACCCCTGAGGTACTAGTTACAACTTCAGTGAACTTTCAGTCTATTTTAATTGAATTTGATATTTTCCCCAAACAACTTTGTTTTTAGCAATTTCTTCTCAAAAAGTCTAAATAAGACTGTTGAGTCGATTAATAAATATGTGCATCATAAATAACAGACATTTACTCTATCTGACCACTTGAGGGCGGTGTTGTAAAAAAGTTGTGCATTTACAAATATACACCACTAGAGGGCAGTGTGCTAAAGCTGACAGCGAGTTCGCTGAGTCAATAGTTGTATTTTTAGACCAGGATTCTCTTTTTTCGTCATAATCAGATCATTTACTGTAATATATACATACATACATACACACACACACACACACACACGCACACACACACACACACACACG